AATAAAAGACCCCAGCTAGTCCAGGTCTCCCGACACAGGCTTGCAGGGCTGTGGCTGAAATTGCAGTGTAGACATTTGGGCGTGAGCTGGAGTGTGGGCTCTGAAACCCAGCGAGGCGGTGGGTCTCAGAGCCCAGGCCCCAGCCCTAGCCTGACTGCCTACACTGCATTTTTTAGCTCTGCAGCCCGAGCCCCACAAGCCCAAGCCAATGGATGCAGGGTCTGAGACTAGGTGCCATGGGATTTTTAATGCAGTGTAGCCGTACCCAAAGGGAAGGGAAATAAAGGTTCCAGATACTCTTTAATAAGGCTTCTCTTTAAAAATCACCAGTATATTTTATCAGGAGATAAATTTGCCCTGAACTAACTGCGTATACTATTTATGAACCTTGGTTAGCACCTTTAAAAAGAGAGTTAGACAAGCAATCTTTAAGCCTTGTCCACAATGAGAAACTTAACCATTGCTGACAATATTTTTCTTCAGTGATTCACCTTAAAATGATATAAGGAATGACTTATGTTCTATTGATGAACCAGTTAATATCACTTCAGGGGGAACTGTTGCTGAACGCCATTTTGAGAAATTACAGTAAATACATTAACATGTATCACTCAATGACAAATATCAATTACGAAATTAGCAAGGATGATACACCCTGAAATGACTTTGTTCATTTATTTGACAAATGTAATGCAATGTTATGCATAATACTCAGTACTTCTGAAAATCAAGCCCACTTAAATACCCAATTAACATTTAGGAGCCTAACTATAGTCAACCACTTCTGAAAATCTCGATTATGAAGCATTACTAACAATGGAGCTCTCAACAGAACTCAGCTGTCAAATCTTTGCTGAGGAATAGAGGGAATGTTGTGTCCAAATCCCAAAGTGGATTAGCAAAGTGCCAATTAGTGAACTTCTGCTGTATCTCCTGAATTATTTTTAAATAATTCTTCCACAGTATTAATTTTGTCACTCTAGAATTGAACTGATCTAAAAATACTTTTTTCACTTTATGCAATTTTTAAAAATTATCACATGCTATAGAGTTGGATAAAACACAACCACAAATATTTTTTTTATTAAAAGTTTGAATTAGAAAAGATGAAAATATCTTCATTTCATCACTGAGTTTCTGTAAGTACATGAAATAATAAACAGTAAATCAGGTTGAAAAAGAATTCTGTACCAAAATCATTATCCATCTGCTTGTGTCACAGTGCTGACTGCAAGTGATGCATTTTTTTTAAACAGTATATTGAACTTACTAGTTATCACAAGAAACGAGCAGGTTCAAACACTTTTACTGCAGCTAATCTCTGTCCCCTGTTTGTCACTGTGGGATACAACCAAGAGAATAAGGTTCCCAACCCAGCTAACTGCCAAAGAAGTATTTTCTACAGAATGAGGCAACATTCTGTAGAATGTAGAATGAGGGGAGGGATAGCTCAGTGGTTTGAGCGTTGGCCTGCTAAACCCAGGGTTGTGAGTTCAATCCTTGAGGGGGCCATTTGGGGGTTTAGTTGGGGATTGATCCTGCTTTGAGCAGGGGGTTGGACTAGATGATCTCCTGAGGTCCCTTCCAACCCTATGATTCTCATGTTATAAATGTGCATCACAAAGAAGAAACAGAAGGTTGTTGATATTTCAGTAGTGTCAAAGGTCCCCAATTGGGCACCATGTATCCTGTGTATTCTCAATTTGTTCCAACATTTAATTGCAGGTGAAAAATTAGAGGCCATTTAACAAAATAGTTGGCCTGTACTCCACAAAACATATTGGTTTGAATTTTTAAACGCAATAAGAAGGGATTTAGGTGCCCAAATCCCTTTGAAATTCAGGCTCCTTTGATAATGTCAGCCATTGTCTTTAGTCAACTGAGACACAAATAGATTAATAAATATTAAGGCCCTGTTCCCACAAAGTCTTACACATATGCTTAACTTTATGCATTGTGAGTTGTCCCACTGATGTCAAAGCTTGTGAAGGTTCCTTTTCTAAAATGGTTTCAGCTTATTTCTGTGCGGTCTGGATATCCTAGAGTTTTCTGAAACTATTTTGAACTGAACCAAACTATAACCCTGTAACTAGGGTTGTGTTCAAAAGTATTTAAAATATTTTGAGTTTAGAAGCAAATAAAGACAGCTGAGATGTAAGACTACCTAACCAAGAAAAATCCCTTCATTAAAGAACTTTCCCTCATTTTGGAGATTGTCACCAAATAAAGGCGATTGATTTTTTTGTTCTTTAAAATTCAGATCCTCATGCTCCAGCACTGATTAGTTCAATATTTGGGGTTCAATCTTGCATTCCATATGCACTGAAAACACCCAGGAATGCAGGATTGGGCTGAAGAGTAGGTTTACCAAATGATTTATTCACTCAAGTCTCGTACGTATTTAAAAGACTTTTACATAGCTTCCAGTCCAGTGATGTTGTGCTTTGCAAAAACTATGATTATTTCTCGCATTTTTCTTAGATGTTAAGACCCCTTTTTTTTTTTAAAGAAATTGGAGTCACATTTACATGCTGTCATTTGCAAGCACATGTCCAGATTGGGGATTATTGTATATGCACATAGACTGCAAGATGGAATGAGTGTCTGTCCAGTATAAATTCTGAATCGTGTACATAATCAGCAAGTGTGTGTGCAGAAGTGGATGTGCTGATACATGAGCAAAATCAGATTTACATTTCTGGCTTCACTTTAGGCCAGAACTGAAACTCATTCAGGTCAATAGGATTCTTTCCTTTGGCTTCAATGGGCTTTGGATAACACACTTTGGGAAGATCAGACCTTCATTTCTAAGCAAATAATGGTTTCCAGTGTGGAAGTACTTGTTACAAGATCTGAATTTCTCCATGATCTTAGGTATTTTTTTCTTAGGAGGAACTTACTTAGCCAATATTTGATATTTCTCTTTGAGAAGAAATTTTATTACTAAAACATGTTATTGTATCCTATAGCTTTAATACTTAATAAATCAAGTGAGCAATCTCAGGATCTTCGTGCTGTAATAAATAGTCTACACATATCATAGATTTGCTTCTCCATTCTTTACACAGTCAAAATACCTGGTAAATGTATGGGAGTTTTGCATGTGCAAAGGGTGGAGGATCCTATACAGGTAAGACAACTTAGGAAAATTGTCAATTGTAAAATGTAATGCTAAGTAAATTGTATCCACATTGTTAATATCACAGAATATTCACTTACAGCAACATACTGATCCTGATCTGATATGTTTAGAATTAATTATGATCGTGTATTCATTTTAATAGGCAGCATTACAAAAAATTACCTTTAGCTGAGAGCTATAATATACTAAGGTAAACTTGATTGTGAATTAAGGTTTAAAATAGACTGACCGTTCTAGTTGATATATATAAATGTGCAGAGCACGATTCTGAGAGAGTAAGGCCCTGATTTTCCATTGTGCTGTGTTTGTGCAGTCAGTTATACCAATGCAAACTGGGTGTAACATGCTACTTAATCAGAATGGTAACATTTCCCATTGACTTTGCATGAGTGTAAATGGCTTCACAAGAGCAAGGCAAAGAAGACTCAGGCCCAAGTATATATTATTAAACACTATTAAGAATACTTGCAGCCACTAGTTTCCCTGCAATGCCAAGGTACTTCATACAAGACGACAATCTCTAGGACCGAATTCTTTCACTTACACTGGTGTAAGTGCAGGAATTCAGCTATGAAGATACTGACTACTTCAGAGCTTGCTTCTTTTGTTTTAATTGAGAAGCATGATGTTGTTACTTATTTCAAAGTTGTTTAATTTTATGCATGTTTATGAATTTTAGTTAAAGAATTCGAGTAATATCAAATCTAAGACAAATTTTTGCAATTGGACCAAGGACCCGCATGCTTATGGTGGCACATCCCCTGAAAAATGTCATTAAACAGCTGATCTATCAGTAAAAATTGCAGGTTTGCTCTGGGATTGAAAAGTTGGTGTTTTCAGGGTCAGATCCTACAAGATGCTGACAGCCTTTAACTGCCATCGAAGTCTACAGGAATTGATGGTGCTCAGCACGTCACATAAAGTGCTCAGTACTTCACAAGATCAAGCTTACAATTGTTGACCTTACTTGTTATAAAAAGCTTTTCTATTATCACAATAAGCCTTTTTATCTTTGCATTATTGTAATTACAACATAACTTACCTGTTACAATGAGCTTGGTACCAGAGCCAAATACTTTGATGAGAACACCACTAGTAGTAGTAAGTATCACAGTGAGCAAATCCTTTGCAAAAATCTAGAGCGGGTATCTTTTTGTTGATGAACCAGTAGTTGTTGCTTTAAAATAAATCTGATTTGCTATTTAAATTGCTTTCAGATATTACAATAAAATAGTAAATAAGGAGAGTACACGTAAAATAATGTGAAAACTGTGGGGGAGATTTTCAAAGGCACAAAAGGCATTATGGTGTCTAACTATCATTGAGCTTCAATGGGCATTGGGCACATAAATGCAATGATAAAATGGGTTAGATTAAGGGTGTTGAATATTTTGTGAAAAAGAACAAATAACATTGTAATTTTTGGTACACAGGCTGAGGTTATAAAATTAAGCCTGTACACTGCCATCATTACATAATGGATCTCCCAATGATAACAATAGATAGAGGGTAGAAGATAGCCTTTAAAATGGGTATATTCATGGGAAAAATTCTGGCTAATTCCTGCCATTTGGTGTAATCAGGAATATTACCAACAGAAAACATTTGCTCTTTAGCAATATTTGTGCAACACAGAGATTAGGCACCCAGCAAGGATGATTTAGCAGGATCTAGAGGGAAGAATATGCTTAAAGACACAGAATACTCTGAACCTCCTTAAATCTAAACATGACTAAAACATTTGAACAATTGAAAATATCTTTTAAAATATCTTTCTATCTCTATCACGTACCTGGTCTTTATGTAACAGATAAGCAAACCCCTTTATTCCCCATTACTGGATCGAATCAAGAAGCTTTTACTGCATTTTGGCCTTAAAGTTAAACACACGCTCAAATTCTTTGCTGATTAGGAATAGAAACATGCTTAAGTGCCTTACTGAACTGGAGTCTTTATTAGGAAAAAAAACACAATTGCATAAATTTATTGTTACTATAAATGTACTCCTTAATTCTATCTAAGAGCCACATCCTGCAAGTGCTGAGCATCCTCAACTCCCATTTAAATTAAGGAGCATTGAAGTAGCTCAACACCTCATAGGACTAGGTGCTAAATATAGTTTATTGTATAAAAAACATAAATTCTACATTTCACATTTACTGCTAACAATGGGCTTAGTTCCACTTCTGAATAGTTTTGCATAATCATCTCACAATCTTACAATGCTAAACAAGATCTCCAAACACTTTACATTGTTCTCAGTGAAGTGTTTCTGGTTCTTTCTGATTTAGAGAGACTAGTATGGGAGAAATCCTGACCCCAATGAAGTCAATTGGCATTTTGCCTTTGACTTCAGTGGAATCAGGATTTCACCCAGTATATTTATGAATAGCTTGCTTTTGTCCTGGATAACAAGCATAGTAAATGCCCAGAGTAAATGTATGCTTTGAAAACATTTAGGGAAACTTACTTGAAACCACCAGTTTGGTGCCGGAGCCAAAATACTTTATTCCACCATTGAAATCTTCTACAAAAACTAATGAATCGTCAAGGTATGAATTTCCCTGAATTCAAATTCTGAAGTTCATATTTTAAATACAAAGTCTACAATCTAAACAAGACTTGCTATAGGCCAGGATGTTATGTGAGTATTAAGCTGAGTTTATGCACTTTGTGAATTCCTGTGCCTTTTTCTACCAAAAACGTTTTCTTCTCCTTGACATACATCACTCTCCATTTCTCTCCTTCTTGATTCTTAGCAGCTATTCAGTAAATATTCCAGCCTTTTACTCTTGTATTCACTTTACTCATTAGGACCAAATACTCCCCTCAGTCAATCCATTGGTGTCCTTGGGACTTCCAGTTCAGATCAAGAGCAATACATGGCTTTTGTCTAAAATTCATTTATTCAGTACAATTTTTTTTGTCCTTTGTTTTTCTTTTGCTAAATAGAATCAATCAAAAATAAAAATACTTACCAGAAACAACTAGCTTAGTTCCTGTGCCAAAGAACTTGATCCTGCTTGAAGTATCACGTTGAGTTTTCGTTTTACAATAAGCTGTGGTACTTTACTTACGTTGCTGTGTTTTTGCTCAAATAACCAGGCACTCTAACCAGTAGCTGGGAAGAAACTTCTAATGAAGTATTCCTAGTTTCTTGATTGCTTGGAGAATTTAATTAATTTCACATTTTTGTGACATCATAAAGCTGATACATAAACTCTCTTCACAGTGATTCTATTTGCATGTTCTTGCAAATGGGATCCTCATTGCTTAAATGAATCCTCATTCTTTAAAATGGAAATTAGATGACAGCTTCTATTTGATAATGGTTTTAATAGACCCTTGGATCAGGCGGTTCTCAAACATTTTCATTGTGTGGTCCATATATTAAAAAAGAGATTGTGTCATAGACTACAGTATCCCATTCACAATAACATTGACCATCTCCTCAGTCTATCATAATACCAGGAAGAGGCAAGCATATATTTCATTTCACCAGCATGTTGGCTTCTACAACCTAATTTTACTTTCACGTCCTTCCTGTTTTGGGGTGAATATTGTCAAGACTGGGGGCAGGTCTACACTACCGCTTAAGTCCATCTAACTTACGTCGTTGGGGTGTGAAAAAGTCATCCCCCTGAGTAATGCAAGTGACAGCAACCTAAATGCTGTCCACACCAGCGCTATGTCAGCAGGAGACGCTCTACCACCGACATCGCTTTCACCTCTCGCAGAGGTGGAGTGATTATGCAAAAGGGAGAGCTCTCTCCCATCAGTATAGAGTGTCTTCACCAGACACACTCTAGAGGCGCAGGTGCATTGGAGCATCTGCGCTGATGTAGTGCTCTAGTGTAGACTAGCCCTCAGGGAGCTTAGCCTCAGTCTAGGGCTTTTATAAACAAATATGCAGTTCTACCAGCCAATAGTCATTTGCACAAACTGTTATACATATGCAACATTTTGCTGCCATAGGTGATTGTCTGCTCTCCAGAGACGGTTGCCTATCCAGATGCTTAAAGTTAAGCATGTGTGTAAGTGTCTGAAAAATCCTCTCCAAATTTGTTTTGGCTCAACCCAAAATAAAACCTATTTTGATTTTTCATACCAAAATGAAAAACCGAAATATTTTCATTTCAGATTAAATGAATCATTTTGTTCTCGCCAAAGCATTTTTTGTTTGTTTGTGTTTCATTATGTTTTATTTTGGGGACGGTTGCACCTTTTCGGTGTGTGTTTGTTTTTTTAAATCAATTTGACGAAATTTCAAAACAAAATGTTTCAAAATGAAAAGTCAAAATGTTTCATTTTGAAAATGTTGAAGTGAAATTTCAACTTTAAAAAAAATCATTTTTTCAGCAAAACTATTTGTAAATCCAACCAAATTTGTAAATACTTTCGATCAAACTGAAATTGCATTTTTGGGAGGGAATAAACTATATGTCAAAACAACGTTGACCTGCTCTAAAAGGTGTGGTAGTGATTTGTAACAAAATGTAATTCAGAACTGCAGTTCTATGCTGTGTTCATCCTGTCATATTGCAGAAAACAGTCAGGAGTTTCTGCTGTTGGTTCCAAGTTGACAGGAAGGATAAGGGATGTGTCTGGTTTCATACACTTGAAAGGCTGTGGCTCAGAATGCACAGTGGGTTTTTGTACGGGGTGTCTATGGCTTTCTACTACTGTGGTATCCCAGGTGGCACAATAATAGGTAGCAGCATCCTCTAGGGTTAGTTGGTCTACTCTGAGATTAGCGGTGAATGCAGAAACATCATTACTAGCTGTAAACTTTTTGCTATTGAAGCCTTCATCCATAGAAACTGATCCTGATCCAATATACAGAATCCTCTTTGGAGCTTCCCCAGGGCTCTGTCGATACCAGTGTATATAAGCACTGTTAAAATTAAAACCTTCGCCAGAAATTATACACCCCATACGTGCAGTTTTAGTTACCGCTCTGGTGACAGACAATGGAGTTTGGATCAGAGTTATTTGCGTATATCCATCTAGAAAGAAAAAAGGAGAAATGATACTATAAACCTGAAGCTGAAGGAATTTGGAACATGTCTTGTTGCTGAAGGAATGGGTACATGTAGAAAAGAACAGAATGGAAAAATGACTTACAAGACCATGTTGAAGTCACAATAAGAACCTGCAGCAGTAACATTCTCACTGGTTGGGTTGAACTTGAAACAGAGGACTATGAAATAACCCCTCAGATGGAGGGACAGGGAGAGAGGTGTGGCTGGGGAGAGGAAATGGGTTGTTTAAGCAGGATCCAATGATAGGTCTCCTGCCTGCAGATGTGTGGGGTAAGTTTTCAGAAGAGTCAAACTATGAATGTAGTCAGGTGGTCAGAAGCTAAAATCCCAGGAGGGGGGATGGGGCTGAAGTCTCATCTGTTTCCATAAACAAACTGGAGGGGTAAAAATGTTTGCAAATCAAGGATTGTGTCCTCCAGATAATGCAGCCACATATACTAAAGCAGAAGTGAACGCAAGTACAGTAAAACTTGTGTAATTGTTTGCACAGAATCCCATGTGATTTCCATCTGTCAGGTGCTTTATTTTTGGTTTGTTTTACAGGCACAGCAAGCAGGGGCATGCACAGGAATTTAAATTTTGCTTCAAATGTGCAGGTAAAAGTTACCACAAGGTTTCATTTTAAAGATATAATATAAGCACATACCTATGAGATATTAAATAGCGTATGTGATGGAGTGTATACCACACATTGGCAAAGAAAGAGTTAACCTGATTTGCCAGACAGCAATTAGTGCATCCAGTTGCATCTCGAGGGTGGGCCAGGCCTAACTTAGAATTATGCTCAGCTGGGTAGGACTGGGTTGGTGAATTAAGGATGAATGCTAGCTGGGAGGAACAGGCTGTCTGTAGCTACTTGCTACAGGGTTCTTGTATTGAAACCCAGAGTAGAGGGTAGGCCAGCCAGGCTGCCCATGTTCCCCTACTAGCAGCCAAGGAAAGTGGCATAAAAGCCCCCTGAGATAAGGGGTATAAAGGTTACTGAGCCCCAAGTTGGGTTGAAGATCTGTCATAAGGTCATTGGACTGCTGTTTTGTGTGACTCTCTGTAACCCTGGAAGGGGTGGGACTGAATGTGACCTGGTGGAGGGCTGAGGCACAAGGAGGAGACCACAGGAGGTCTGGAGTGGCTGTTGGTAGAGGCACGAGAGGAGAAGACTTTGCCAGCCACATGGGGGCATTTTGATGGTAAGTTACCCTTTGACAGCATATTTAATTGTTATTAATGTTAAGACATATGTATACATTGCACTTTGGAGAATGTGTAAATTATTGTAACACAGTGGCCAGAGATCATCTGAAGAGTCATAGAATATCAGGGTTGGAAGGGACCTCAGGAGGTCATCTAGTCCAACCCCCTGCTCAAAGCAGGACCAATTCCCAACTAAATCATCCCAGCCAGGGCTTTGTCAAGCCGGGCCTTAAAAACCTCCAAGGAAGGAGACTCCACCACCTCCCAGTGGTGAGTAGCATAGCGAAAATTTCAGTGGTCATGGATTTCTTACTTTCATGAAATGATGGAATGAAACTCAGCTCTGCCCGGGACACTTTCCAAATGTCAATTATCCTCATCTGTCTACACTAGACTTTTTTCCCTAAAATTTCTCTCAGTTGCTACCCCTGGGTCAGTTCCACTGGTGGAAGCAAGTATGGGAACGCTGCTGTAGAAAGGTGCCTGTGGCTGCCAGCAGATGTACGTCTTTCAGGGTGTGTCGTATCTCTAGATTTACCTTGGCTCTTTCCCCGGTTTTCGTCAAAACCCCTCTCTCCTCCTCACACAAAACCCTTATGCCCAGGTTTATATGTGTTTTGAACCTGGGCTTGCTTGTCTGGCTGGGAGTGTATGTTTACAGCCTGGGTTTTGCTCTAAAGTAGGACCAAAGCTGCCTACTTTGCAGTGGGGCTGCAGCTGAATCCCAGGTTGTGGAGCTCAGGTTTTGATAGTCCTCTAATGCCATCCCACAATTCCCTGGGGCTGTATTTTCTGGCCTTCTACCTACAGTACTAACTTCCCATTCACCTCTACTGGCTTATATACCCAGTCAGCATTTAACTGCTCATTTCATCCAGCCTGCTCCACCTCTGCTCTGCTCACCTCAGTGGAGCAGCTTGAGAAGATTCTGTCCCCGCATGTCCTAGCTGGTCAAAGCATCAGGGGTCTCGTTCTTTGCTGTGCTCACACCAGAGAGCATGATTTTGAGAGGTGCACCTGAAACCAGCATCTGTGCAAGAGCATCTCCAAGAGGCTGGCAGAGGAGGTGATCCAGCAGATGGCTCTCCAATGTTGGGAGGGAATCAGAACCCTTCAGGGTGCCTATCACAAACAAAAGTCCAGCAGTGGCCCATCTACCTGCCCTTACTCCAAGGAGATTAACTGGGTGTTAACCACCACCCTGAGTATAGATCCCTCCCTTCTTACATGACAGGCTTTTTGAGCTGGGACAGTCCGAGTTCTAGACTGGTGTAGAGGGGATGAGGGCAGAATCACAGGATACTCTGGTGGCAGAGGAGCAGGAACAGAGCCCAGACCTGGACTAGATCCTGGAACAGACTTTGTGGCCAGCTGGGCTGGGGAATGTCCTAGGTCCATGTTCTGAGGATCTGTTTGAGCCCAGGGAATGTGCTGGAGAAGAAGCACAACAGTGGAGCCAGAGCTGCAGGTGGGAAGTGGACACTGCTGCCACCTTTGTTGTTACTATGGAGGAAAATTGCAGCATAAGTGGGAGAGATTTCTGAGTTAAAACCAATAGAACTATTGATATGGAGGATATTTATGTGCTATAGGATGGCCTTATCTTCAGTTGTGGGTGGAAGCCATGTCAGTTCCCTGATCCTCCTTCCTCCACCCTCCCCACCATGTGTGATCCAAGTGGGAGGGGGTGTATGTGTGTGTGTGTGTGTGGGGGGGGAATTGTGCAGCTATTGATTTGTTCTAGCAACTGTTGAATTGATGGTGGGAGGGAATCTGATCTGAGACTACAGACTTAGCAAGCTTAAGTACATATTTCCACATATTCTTCTTTCTATAGCTGTCACACTGTAGTACAGTTATTCCTGCTACAGCGCTGTAATACTAGTATTGGAAGACTGCATTATAATCCCAATGGCTGTACCATGTGAAAATATCTCCTGGTGATAATGGCATCTTGGTGTTGTGCATGCATGGCACAATGTCTGTGGGGTTGGGGGAGTGGATGGGGGGTGGAGGCAGCAAGTTTCTGCACCCTAGTTCAGAATCCTGATAACGTTTGTCTGAATTTTCCCCCCACTCCTGGTTAGTGATTTTTCTCCTCTATAAAAAATTCTTAACCATCAAGACAGTCAGGGATATTCCTGGGCAGGGCAAACTTCCAGCAATCACCCCCGCGGGTGCTGGAACAATTTGTATATAGTCAGGGTGCTGAGAGTCATTGAACCAAACTGTAAAGCCTGCATGTAATGGAAACCACCTCAAGCCAGGGGTTGCAGCAGCACCCCTAGTTCCAGCTCCTATGACCACTCTGGTAGCTTACTAGCCCTCTCCATTCATTGATTTGCTGTTGAGTCAGCAGGGGGCAAAATATCATTTTCTTGATAAATGGCCTTCTATCACAGGCCTGGAAAAGTTGCTTTCTCTTCCAATCAGGGATCTTCAGCAGACTAACATCCTCCAAAGGTTGTCCCTGCCTGTAATAGTGTTAAAACCAATATTGCTAACAGCCCCCTGGTCTGAGTGTCCCGACCCATGTATGAGGCCCCCCAAAATGGTAGCAAGCATATAGAACGTTCAAGGAGGGTCTTGATAGGAATGGCTTTCTAACGATGATTAACCGGAAATGAAGGAGGAACTGGATATCTGACTTCTACTATAAGTATCTGCAGGATGTGGTCAATGACATGCTATGCTGTACCTATAAAAGTTAGCTTTTATTACCCCCTTTTAATTCTATACCTGCCATACTTAGACCATCACATACAACTGATGTTTTTTCTGTCTAGCTCAGAGAAAATGAGTATCTACTTGTGCTTTCAGCTGATTAAGATTAAAAAGGCAACTATGCGTGTGGGTTTTGGGTTTTTTTCATTTGTTTGTATACTTTTGAAAGTCTGTGGCTCAGAATACAGTGAGGTTTTGTACAGCCTGTCTATGCGTTCTAACACTGTGTGATCCCAGTAAGCACAGTAATAGGTAGCCATGTCATTGTAGGTTAGTTTGTCTACTGTTAGGGTAAAGATGGATTTTTCAGTTGTCTTCTCAACACTAAACTTCTACTTGTCAAAACTTGATTTATCAGTTTGTGTCTTAAAGTAGAGTATCCACTCCAGAGCTTCTCCAGGTCTCTGTCGATGCCAGTGTATATAAGCATCACCAAAATTGATGCCAGAAACTTTACAGTCAATTCTTACTGTTCTAGTTTCCTTGTGATGGATAACTGATCTTGTGTCAGTTGTACTTGTGCAGCTCCATCAACAAAGAAAGAAAGAGAGGAAAAAAATACCATAAGCATGAATTTGGAGGTTCTCTGGTTGTTGCTCAGTAATCTGCATATTTGTAGAAAACTTGAGTGAAAACCAACTTACACGACCAAATTGAAGCCACAAGAAGAACCTGCACCAGTAACATTCTTACTGGCTTCAGTTTAGCTGCATGTCAGAAACAGAAGGCTGTAAGTTAGGATCTCGGATGGAGGGCCGAGTGCCTTTGGGGAGAGGAAGTGACTCACTTAAGTAGCAGCTGAGAAGAGTTCTGTTGGTTGTAGGTATGTCAGTTCCATGTGAGGTTAATTTGACTGATAGTCATTAAGACAAAAGTGAGCCATCATGAGTTTCAGCAATAAGTCTAGTATGAAGCAGATGCTCCAGTGAACTTAGGACCGTATCCATTGTTTCTTAAGAGGATGGACAATGAAGGGTTCATGTTGATTGGTGCAGTAGACCCCCAAACTTTCTTATTTAAGCCTTTATTCAGGAAAGCATCTGCCTTAAGCCGGGCTTAATCTTAAATGCTTTGCTGCCTTCCCATTGAAGACAAGTCACTGCCTGTTTCTATGTTAATGATTATTTTTTTCCTAGAATAAAAGCCTTCAGCAGTATTCCCTGTGTGGTAAAGGGGACTGTGCCTGTAAGGGCTGAGATTCCCAGACAGA